TTTCAGGAGAAAAAAAAAATGCGCTAAAAAGAAAATCCAATGAAATAACGATTACATGCTAAACTGATATGTTATAATAAAGTAATGGTATATCTACCGTTTATTATCTAGATGGTTGATATGTCCTATTAAAAAAATCGGAATAAAGAATCCATACCGCGATCTGTAAATCATAGATTCTAATTACTCTATTTCCATTTTTGATCTTCTTTTTAATGACGCCCTATCATCTGCATGTGAAAAATAAATACAAAAAAGTTCGGGAGCCCTGCATGTGAAAAATAAATACAAAAATTCGGGAGCTATGTCATATGATAATCGTGAAGACTCTTCACACTTCCAACCAATAGAAGCGGGATCTACAAGAAATACTGCTCGTCAAAATTGCGCAGAAGAATGGCTTCATCATAAGGCGCAGTATATGATCGTTAGCGACGATCAAAAAATTCATTATCATTCCGATGCATTACACACACCCCACATCCATACTTATGTAAAAACAAATGCTCGAACTATGGGTTAAACTTTATTGATATTTATGTATGCGGAGTACAGATACAAAATCTTCATAATAGCTATATAGATCGTTTTTATTACGTTAAAGAAAATGATTTATTAATTCGGCAAATAGCGGATAAGGTATTTATCTTACAAGATGATAATCGTTTGCCCATTAATTTGTAATGCTTTGGATCTTTATAGGTGAAATTCGTGGACAAGTCAATATGTGGATCAGAACTTATTATTGAATACTTAATTCTACCTCTGCGATAAATGATATACTTCTCGGAAGCATTTAATCCTTAAAATTAGTTTGGGAGCTCATGGAGCTCATCGGGCACATCTATAAGAAAATGGAGATAAAAATAAGTAATAGAATAGTCTTTTCACACGTTGTGACTTCATACATAATCATTAACACTCAAGCATATGAACAGGGGTTTATTAAATGAATTAAGAATGCATCAAGGCTTAATTATCGCATCTTGTTGAAACACAATTTCAATAAATTCTTTATGAATATAAATCCAAATATCAATACTTACCTTGAATTTTCCAGGCCTTAACATTCGGAAAGTTTTTCATCATCCAACGATCTGCCCTCTCCAATTGCGCACTACTTTTGAAATATAACTCCAGTGCCCCATCATCTGTCTCGTACCACCAACAGAACAATTGCAATTCTGTATAACATTTCATTATTTCTTCACTACTCCAATTGTGATTCATATCTTCACGTTCAATTCGAAAAACACTCTTATTCCTGGTGAGATCAGGTCCGACGCAGAATGTAAAATTCTGGTATTCTTTATCCAGAGGTTCGTATACTATTTTTAATTCTTTGTTTTCACGAGTGATATCTGGAGTTTTAAGGTAACGTGAAATTGCTAAAAAAATTGGAACTATTTCAAGTACAGAACCTTAATTGTCTAACAACTTATGATTACAAGACAATGATATTTCATACCAGAAGCCCAGAATCGTATCTCGACTTTCCACCCCGCTTTTAATATTTCTTCCAATGCGGGTTCACAATCCCCGTCACCGGCTATCAACACCAATACGCCAGGACCTTTGGCCTTAAGGAGAGTTTGGACCACCATAGAGATTCCAAGTTTCATGTCAACCCTCTTCTCTTTGTTTTCATTATTCCGATCGTACACGGTCACTTCATATCCAAGACTTTTGACTTTGTTCCACAGCGTATCGTCTGATGGTGGGCGAGAACCCACAATAACTGGACTGCTACCCATACTACGTCCACTCAGAATAGTTGTAAGAAGGCATCCGTAATCTATCCGAAGATGTTTCATATAGTAAACTTGACGATATTCTTCAACTTTTGTATCTTCGTTAATTACTTTAACTCGGTCATAAATCCTTTCAAGTTGGCCAACAGAATATTTCGCCTCAACGTATAGATTGGAGTTATCGACGAAAACGTGTACATGTTCGGTATTTATCTTTGAAGTACTTACTACATGGAAAAATAATTTTGCATAAACAGTTTGGTATGTATTATATAGATGAGGACAACATGTCAAGCCAAGACGCGTTCATTGCGTTGACCAAATTTATTACGACTCACTTACCACCAATGGGTTGTTCTACGATATATTTTTTGGACGGGTTTGACAATAAGAAGCAGGAAAGAAAAGCACAAGAATAAGTAAGTATTCAGTATTATTGGCGAATACGACGAAAAGATGAGAATCTAATCCACATTATTCTTATACTTCTATATAATCTCTGTGAGAGCATACCAGGCAGGAAAGCCCTAAGATAATCAAGTTTATTTTCATCCTCTTCAAAATTACTAAGGTCTGAGAACGCTCCAGCTTGTTGATCTTGATGTTTGGTGAAATGGGCAAGTAAACAAGCTTTCTCCTTTTGAGATTCAGCAAGGCGAACAATTTCAGTTTTAATGTTTACGGTAGAACCAGAGGCGAAATCTGACATACTGTAACAATTATTTAGATTTTGATAAAGGAGTATTACAAAGAGATTAGCAATTGGGAAAAAAATTTTTGGGGTATATATATTAGAAATCGATTGTCGCACAGATTGATCTCTCAAGTTACGCAATTTTTATTAATACCGACATAAGTCATGCTTTACAATACTTCATATAAAAAGTGTTACTTTGAGATCGTCACAGTCTCGGAATTTCGTAGTTTTTACATATCAGGTGATAAGTGTGAAGAATCTTCACGGTGCATGCGAGCGATAAGGTTTGCTAAAGCAAACAGACTAACCTGCTGTACATGATAAAGTTTCTATGCTTGTGCTAATGGGACATAATCGATAAGAACATAAATGCATTTTTGCATCACTTAGAAGGGACGCCCAGATTATTTCGCCTGCCTATGAATCGGGACCTTAACTGTGATACACAATATATTTATCTGCTAATTAAACGTAGAGTTACATGTATTATATGGGGCCTTTGCAATAGAAAGGGGGGAAACTGCCGGAAAATTAAAAAATGAGTTAATGCTAAATTTGAACAT